GTCTCATACTTGGTGTAGTAGACCAATAATGGATCAGAGAAAGAAAGTTATTTTCACGGGTTCTTTGAGAAGTGATTGGTCGGTTTTGTCAGAGGACTCAGACTTTATCTTTATTGGTCTCATAGAAGCACAGGACCTTGTGTCAAGCAAACAAAGACATCAAATTGTCCAAGTCTGGGTATGAATGAAAGAGCGATTTAATCTCCCATAATTTACTCCTTCATAAAGGCCTGTCACCAGCCTTATCAGCAGAGCACAGACCAACCCTGTGATTAAACCTGCCTGTGTTAAGAGGGCCTACTGAGATTCACTTTCCCCAGGATCCCCCCAAGGTTTAGCTCCCTAGTGCTCAGCGCTTACAATGTAGCTGATTTTTTATAAACTGCAGTGGAGCGGAGAGAGACCACAAGACCAGAGCAGTCTGTGTTTCTCCAATTATACAATATGATTGTTACACTCTCCAGCACACCTCTGAGGCACACAGAACAGCCTGAGCCAGTGATATGATTGCCCAGTAGCAACTATTGGAGTGAAAATGGAAGTAAACTGATCTAGATTAAAAAATTAAAAAGCACAGATGCCTCTGAAAAGCTATCTTTACGCCAGGGTGATATCCTCTGAAGAGAGCCTTTATGGTAGAAGGTAGAGCACCCTGCACAAGAGGTTGCTGAAAGGAAATGGAACTTGAATCACTAAAAGTGAGTTGATAAAAGCTTATTCTTTTGCCATTTCAATGCAAATAGTAGGCATAAAAGACAAAGGCAGTCTCCATCTGTTGAGCTTTTAGCTGAATGAACATTCAGCTGCTAGGCTACATGCATTGTAAGAAACTATGCCAAACGAAGGATACCACCAACAAATGTACATTTTAGTAATTTAGCAGACGCTCTCATCAAGAGCAATTTACAGGAGCAATTAGGGTTAAGTGCTTTACTCAAGGGCACATCAACAGATTTTTCACCTAGTCGTCTCAGGGATTCGAACCACCGACCTTTCAGTTACTGGCCCAACCGCTAGGCTACCTGCCGCATCACAAATGTGATGCAATAGGGAATGTTCACCTGGACATATAGGCCAGTACTCACTCTGTTTGTATTCAGTCATTATTTCTCTCATGTCTTAGCTTGGGTACTGTTTGTCTGGTGGCTTGGCAGTGAATGCTGAAAAGCTCTCCCTCTCCAACTGGCTATGTGCCACTTTGTACAACGTCTACCTGGGTCTACACAAAAAAAAGGTGCTATATAGAACCTAAAAGGGTTCTTCGGCTGTCCCCATAGGAGAACCCTTTGCAGAAGGTTCCAGGTTCCGGGTAAAACCATGTTTCGTTCCAGGTAGAACCCTTTTCGGTTCCATGTAGAACCCTTCCACAGAGGGTTCTACATGGAACCCAAAAGGGTTATACCTGGAACCCAAAAGGGTTTCCTATGGGGACAGGCGAATAACCCTTTTTTCTAAGAGTGTAGGCCAGAACATTATGCTTCAGTGAAGGAAGCATGCTTAAGAATAGCCTATACTGGGCGTATCTCGGCGCTCTCTCTATCGCTCTCTCTTCCCCTCTGTCTCTCTCTTCCCCTCTCCTACACACATACACACATCACACACACCTGTGTTTACATAAGGAGAAAGGACAACGGCTCACCTTTCATTTGCTTTTCTCTATCAGTTACCTTTTTTAGCCTGGCTGCTTACTTAGGGACAGATCGAAATTGACTGGTGGGAGGAGCTGGACCATCAAGGTAGACTATGTCAATCTCGACAAACAGAAAATACATCCCTTCCTACCTTGTAGGCTTACCCAGTATCGAAGGCTTGGCTTGACAATCTCCAAATGTAATTAAACTTTTTGGTGTTTTGTAACAGATGTCTCTTTCCATTCATCAATTGGCCACTGCACAATTTGGATTGATTGATTGATTTTATTTGTCAGTTAAAAAAATATATATATACACAAATATGTTTTTAAGTGACCAGGACTTATTTCCATTGTGGTTCCTATTTTTTACACAAATACAATTACAATTAGAGATGAAAAAATGCTCAACCTCCAGATGAGTATGAGGGGAGAGTTTAAGTACAATTCTTACAAGCTTGTTTGGCTGGTAGCTTATTCTTTAGATATTTGGGGCTGCTGGTGAATCATGATGTGCAGGCATAATCAAAGTGACACTGGACTAGCGCACTTGCCAGAGTCTTTAGGTGTCTATAGCTAGGTTTCCATCCAATTGGCTACAGATTTTCATGTGAATATTCTAAAATCTTCATAAAAACAATATGCCATTTCAGAGTTTCCTTTAGGAAACGCTGGACAACATGACAAGACTTTAATTTATCGGACATTTGAGAAATTCTACGGATATCCGTATTCAGATCCAACCTGGCGCAGCCATTACCATCAATGAATGAGGGATGTTGGCCAAATGAGCCACATTTATGTGTCCTTAAAAACAGCCTATAACTAATTACAAAACGTATGCAAAACTTAATAGCCAATTATTATTATTTTTGGCTACTTTCCTAAAACAAGAATTGTCCACCTCACGGTTCAGCTGTCAGAGATTTGAGCACTAAATGTATCAGGGCACTGCATGCATAGACCTATAGGCTAAGGTGTCCTCTGCATGATATTAATATATATACAGTACCAGTCAAAAGTTTGGACACACCTACTCATTCAAGGGTTTTTCTTTATTATTACTATTTTCTATGTTGAAGAATAATAGTGAAGATATCAAAACTATGAAATAACACATATGGAATCATGTAGTCACCTGGAATGCATTTAAATTAACAGGTGTGCCTTCTTAAAAGTTAATTTGTGGAATTGCTTTCCTTCTTAATGCGTTTGAGCCAATCAGTTGTGTTGTGACAAGGTAGGGGTGGTATACAGAAGATAGCCCTATTTGGTAAAAGACCAAGTCCATATTATGACAAGAACAGCTCAAATAAGCAAAGAGAAACGATAGCCCATCATTACTTTAATATAATAATAATTAGTCATTTAGCAGACGCTCTTATCCAGAGCGACTTACATGAGCAATTAGGGTTAAGTGCCTTGCTCAAGGGCACATCAACAGATTACCGGGAAACCGGGTCCATCATTACTTTAAGACATGAAGGTCAGTCAATATGGAAAGTTTCAAGAACTTTGTAAGTTTCTTCAAGTGCAATCATGAAACTGGCTCTCATGAGGACTGCCACAGGAATGGAAGACCCAGAGTTACCTCTGCTGCAGAGGATAAGTTAGAGTTAACTGCACCTCAGATTGCAGCCCAAATAAATGCTTCAGATTTCAAGTAACAGACACATCTCAACATCAACTGTTCAGAGGAGACTGTGTGAATCAGGCCTTCATGGTCGAATTGCTGCAGAGAAACCACTACTAAAAGACACCAATAAGAAGAAGAGACTTGCTTGGGCCAAGAAACACGAGCAATGGACATTAGACCGGTGGAAATCTGTCCTTTGGTCTGATGAGTCCAAATTTGAGATTTTGGGTTCCAGCTGCCGTGTCTTTGTGAGACGCAGAGAAGGTGAACGGATGATCTCTGCGTGTGTTGTTCCCATCGTGAAGCATGGAGGAGGAGGTGTGATGGTGTGGGGGTGCTTTGCTGGTGACACTGTCAGTGATTTATTTAGAATTCAAGGCACACTTAACCAGCATGGCTACCACAGCATTCTGCAGCGATACGCCATCCCATCTCATTTGCACTTAGTGGGACTATCATTTGTTTTTCAACAGGAAAATGACGGAACACCTACTGGCTGTGTAAGGGATATTTTACCAAGAAGGAGAGTGATGGAGTGCTGCATCAGATGACCTGGCCTCCACAATCCCCCGACCTCAACCCAATTGAGATGGTTTGGGATGAGTTGGACCGCAGAGTGAAGGAAAAGCAGCCAACAAGTGCTCAGCATATGTGAGAACTCCTTCAAGACTGTTGGAAAAGCATTCCAGGTGAAGCTGGTTGAGAGAATGCCAAGAGTGTGCAAAGCTGTCATCAAGGCAAAGGGTGGCTACTTTGAAGAATCTCAAATATAAAATATATATATATATATATATATAAAGGAAGAGAAGCTTAGGCTTCCCCTAATCCCAGAGATATGCTGGTGGCATGCTACGACACCAACATGTATTTCTTAATGTCAGATGGCTACTGCGTCTGCTATACAGATATAGACGTACAGAAGGAGGGTAATTAGTTAATTTTCGATCCAAACATTTTGTATAAAGATGAGCATTATATTTTTAGATTATAGAAGTAACTCTGGTAGGCCTGTCAATTTAAATCTGTCCCTTAGGATATGGTTTCAGCCAGGCCACAACCAATGCATCATATAATTATGACGCCCAGTCTCGGGGAAACCTCTCGCTGTGTCTCCAGGTTAAAAGGGATTTCAAATCATACATGAATAGAAGACAATGCATACAGATGAGAATGTTTTAGAACAGGGGTCAACCCATTCAATCCAGCCCATGGGAGGTTTGAGTATGATTTATAATTTATACATACTTTTTTGAGGGGGAGGTGAAATGATTAGATAGAAAGTATGTAGAAATTATAACAGACCTATATATTTTCAAATAACTGCCCTTTTTCTGGCCCGGAAATAGATTTTGACATATGGTCAAAAACAAAACTGTGTGGCCCTCGAAAAATCGATGTGGCCCTTGAGCCAAAAAGTGTGTTATTACCTGGGTGAGACATATGACAGATCACAGGAAAGGAAATCCTCTGTTGTCATTGATAATGAGGTAATCACCCGGGTTCCCATGGCTACATGATTTTGCGTATTTAACCTATTTTACTCAGGGGAATGTGTTATCAAGCTTTGTGAATAAACAATGGTTATTACTAGTGTTGGCAGATTAATAATATATACTACAAAATAGTAATTAGTTGAACTACCTTTTTACCTAAGTAATTTTGATGTGAATGAATTCATCAGTCTTGTCTCAAGTCTATCACTTCTCAGTAAGATGTGAGTCATTCACTCTAAACATGCACAGTAGGAACTGTCACCTACAACCATTTTCTGTCATATAAAATCTGTGAACATGTTTTTGTGTAGAGACCATGCATGAGGATGCATTTGTAAGCCTGGGTGATTTGTAAGTCGCTCTGGAAAAGAGCGTCTGCTAATGAAAATGTAACCTTGGTAAGGCTTACATGATTGTGCTAGTTGTCTTTCACTATAACAGCCCATGGGTATGGGGAATGGTGTATGGGCTTTGGTCTGTCTTCCCTCTGTTCTGATTGTGGCTGTGTAGCAGGAGTTCATGTGAAGACTGTGTAAATCCTGGATCTACTCTGTCCAAGCCCCCTTACGTGGTAGTGGAGGGTTGCCAGGTTTGATGAGATATTGTCCCCACCGTGACAGCAGAGATATAGAGTGATACTTGAGAGAGAATATACTATAGTGTTCACGCTCACCTTTCTGAGTCTTTCTGAAGCAGCTGGATACACTGGTCCTAAGCCACAACAGGCTGTCTTCTGTACCAAATGCCACCAGGAATAACCTAACTTTGCGTAGGCTGGATCTCAGCGTCAAAAGCATCGATAAACTAGGCTACTCCAATTTTGCCAATCTAACAGGACTCAAAATATTCCATATTTTCCATTATAAAATCCCCAACCTTGAAGCTTGTATTATTCAACATTTTAGGAACATGAAGGTCCTAAGCATTGGAGCAAACAAATTCAAGACTTTGAGTGATGCTTTCAAGAATGGTTTGCAACAACTAGATATCTTTGATATGCCAGGCGGTTTATTAGAAACTATCCGTAATGGAGACTTTAAAAACTATGCCTACCACCTCTTCCTGGCTTATCTCCACGATACCAAGAGGAGGAAGATCTGGAGAGCGAGTGGTGCTCTCGGGAGATCCAAGTGGCCAGCTTCCCTCTGTTTGATGAGCAGAAGGACGTTCTGATCCTGGAAATCCCAGACCAGCAGCTCTCTCCCTACCACCGCATGAGGACGCTGGTGAAGAGATGCACCTACTTGAGCTGGCCCAGAGCTGGGGAGCACACTGGGGTCTTCTGGGAAAAACTCAGTGGCTCTGGAGACCAGGGACTGCCCTGCTGAGGAGAACCCCATTCTGTCCGGGGTAGAAAGGGTATGATAGCGAGATTCTAAATTAATAGTAAATGGACCAGAAACTGTATTTTAAAAAATAGCAATGAAAGAGAAATAACAGTTTTTATGTATCAACTGCATAGCTATGATTTACAATATTAACTTTTATGTGTTCTATAATCAAGAAACTGATTTTGGCAAATATTATGCAATTTCCTGATGACGTACAGTATGATGATATTTTGACTTCTCTAGTTCTCTTTTCTACGCTAGTTTTTCTGTTTTGTCTTAATAACCCTGTTTTTTGTTTCCCATTTCCTTTCACTTCCCTTTTCTATTCACCTTTTTTCTTCCTAAATGTTCTTTAATTTGTTAAATGATTTTTGCTTCATGTAAGCCATGTTGGGATTGTTTTTGTAATTAAATTTCACAGATATCTGCCATCTTGTTTATTATGCCAGCTCTAGCTAGCCTATCTACTAGCTACTGTATCTACACTGAGTATACAAAACATTAACGCGGTCCTCTGTAGCTCAGCTGGTAGAGCACGGCGCTTGTAACGCCAAGGTAGTGGGTTCGATCCCCGGGACCACCCATACACAAAAATGTATGCACGCATGACTGTAAGTCGCTTTGGATAAAAGCGTCTGCTAAATGGCATATTATTATTATTATTATTATTATTAAGAACACCTGCTCTTTCCATGACATAGACTGACCAGGTGAAAGCTAAGATCCCTTGTTGATGTCACTTGTTAAATCCACTTCAACCAATGAAGGGGAGGAGACAGATTAAAGAAGGATTTTTAAGCCTTGAGACAATTGAGACATGGATTGTGTATGTGTGCCAATCAGAGGGTGAATGGGCAAGACAAAATATTTAAAGGGGAATTTCACCCTGGGGGGATCTGGGCTTGTTTTCATCATGTATGAGGGGGTGGGATCTGAAAATACATGTAGTCCTGCTTTGTGGCATTACGCGAAGGCTCTATGTTATACTGATTGCACTATACGTTTTTGTGGGTATAGATATGGTTGTCCTTGTTCGATAAAGCCATTGGACGTCTTTCAGCGATGTTCCTATAGGCGGATTCATTAGTATATACACAAGCAGACACATTTTTTTCCAGTCTCTGAAAGACTACAACTTGTGTTGGGCGGTACTTCGGGCTCTGGCCCCCATCCAAAGCAGACTTTTTTGAAAAGTATAATTTTTTTCCTGCAAGCCACCTAGCTAGCTAGCTAACTTTAGTTTATCTACTGAAACCCATATTGTGCATTGCTGGCTAAAATACTACTGTGTGACAGTGGGGGGAAATACAATTATTTTTCTGTTCGCAAACTTAGCTAGCTATGTAGCTAGCTAGGTAGCTAGCTAATTAGCTAAGTTAGCTAGCTAAACAACTACCGGTAGCCATATCTATGACAGAAAATAGAATAGTTTTTACAATCAGAGATCTTTTGTATCTCGATTGTAAAACCTCTTCTATTTTTTGTCATAGATATGGCTAGCTACTAAACAGCAAGCTACAACGTTTCAACCAGCCACCTTAAAGCTAGGTTTACCAGCAAACGTTAGCACATGACTGGAGTTGGCTAGCTAGTTAGCCTGGCGCCTGCTAAGTTGTTATGCATTATGCCTCGCATTTGTAACTTGGTAACAAACGTGTAACATCAGCAAATGTAAATAATTTTACTGGCTAGCTATGTTGGTTATGATTATGACCTTGGATACATTTCTATCGCACAAAATTATAGGCATGATGCACTCACTAACTGTAAGTCGCTCTGGATAAGAGCGTCTGCTAAATGACTAAAATGTAAAATGTAAAACTCTAAATAACAAGTATTGCATATCCAGCAAGCCAGTTGTAGTGCCTGGGCTTCTTCCTGGAGTGGATTCTAGATGCATAAACAGAAATCCTTTGCCTGTGTGTGTCATTGTAGCGCAACTGTATCCCATGAACTATATCCCTCTCGAGGGACTAGACATTATGCTTGATTTCAAAAAGATGACTCATGAAGAGCTAAATGGAAGTTTGATCATGACAACACTTCTCCCACAGCTTTACAAGCATAGCAGCAGGAAGTAGAGGTGCTGAGGGTGCTGCAGCACTCCCTGACGCAGCACCCTCAGCACCCCTACTTCCTGCTGCTATGCTTGTAAAGCTGTGGGAGAAGTGTTGTCATGATCAACTTATATATAGATATATATATAATTGGTCCAGGGTAGGGGAGGGAATGGCAGGCAGGGAGGTAGCTCAGTTGATAAGACATGGCGTTTGCAAGCCAGGGTTGGGTTCGTTTCCCAGGGGCCCAGTATGGAAAATAATATGTATGCATAAACGTAAGTCGCTGGAGTAAGAGCGTCATCTGAAAATTTCAATTAAATAATAAGAGAGTAGAGTGATGAGTATGAAATCTATGATGACATCATGACCCTATTACAGTATATATTAATTATAATATATATTATATAAATATATAATATACACAACACAGTACCAGTCAAAAGTTTTGACACACCTACTCATTCAAGGGTTTTTCTTTATTTTTACTATTTTCTATATTGTAGAATAATAGTGAAGACATCAAAGCGATGAAATAACACATATGGAATCATGTAGTAACCAAAAAAGTGTTAAACAAATCAAAATATATTTTAGATTTTAGATTCTTCAAAGTAGCCACCCTTTGCCTTGATGACAGCTTTGCACACTCTTGGCATTCTCTCAACCAGCTTCATGAAGAATGCGTTTTCAACAGTCTTGAAGGAGTTACCACATATGCTGAGCACTTGTTGGCTGCTTTTCCTTCACTCTGCCGTCCAACTCATCCCAAACCATCTCAATTGGGTTGAGGTCGGGTGATTGTGGAGGCCAGGTCATCTGATGCAGCACTCCATCACTCTCCTTCTTGGTAAAATAGCCCTTACACAGCCTGGAGGTGTGTTTTGGGTCATTGTCCTGTTGTAAAACAAATGATAGTCCCACTAAGCGCAAACGAGATGGGATGGCGTATCGCTGCAGAATGCTGTGGTAGCCATGCTGATTAAGTGTGCCTTGAATTGTAAATAACTCACAGACAGTGTCACCAGCAAAGCACCCCCACACCATCACACCTCCTCCTCCTTGCTTCACCGTGGGAACCACACATGCGGAGATCATCCATTCACCTACTCTGCGTCTCACAAAGACACGGCGGTTGGAACCAGAAATCTCACATTTGGACTCATCAGACCAAAGGACAGATTTCCACCGGTCTAATGTCCATGGCTTGTTTTTCTTGGCCCAAGCAAGTCTCTTCTTATTATTAGTGTCCTTTAGTAGTGGTTTCTTTGCAGCAATTTGACCATGAAGGTCTGATTCACGCATTCTCCTCTGAACAGTTGATGTTGATGTGTCTGTTATTTGAACTCTGTGAAGCATTTATTTGGGCTTCAATCTGAGGCTGGTAACTCTAATGAACTTATCCTCTGCAGCAGAGGTAACTCTGGGTCTTCCTTTCCTGTGGCGGTCCTCATGAGAGGCAGTTTCATCATAGCGCTTGATGGTTTGTGCGACTGCACTTGAAGAAACTTTCAAAGTTCTTAAAATGTTCTGGATTGACTGACCTTCATGTCTTAAAGTCGTTTCGCTTTGCTTATTTGAGCTGTTCTTGCAATAATATGGACTTGGTATTTTACCAAATAGGGCTATCTTCTGTTTAGCCCCCCTACCTTGTCACAACACAACTGATTGGCGCAAACGCATTAAGAAGGAAAGAAATTCCACAAATTAACTTTTAACAAGGCACACCTGTTAATTGAAATTAATTCCAGGTGACTACCTCATGAAGCTGGTTGAGAGAATGCCAAGAGTGTGCAAAGCTGCCATCAAGGCAAAGGGTGGCTACTTTGAAGAATCTCAAATCTATTTTGATTTGTTTAACACTTGTTTTGGTTACTACATGATTCCATATGTGTTATTTCATCGTTTTGATGTCTTCACTATTATTCTACAATGTAGAAAATAGTAAAAATAAAGAAAAACCCTTGAATGAGTAGGTGTGTCCAAACTTTTGACTAGTACTGTATATGGCAAGATTTTTGTTAACACAAAGGTAGTGCACTGGGCCTTTAATAGTCGACCGATATAGCCATCTGCAGTGCGGGCAAAAAGTGTTTTTCTACCCCCCAATCTGTAACTACAGTTCTCTGCACTTGTGTGTCTCTACACCTGAGACACACTCAGACACACTGAACTGTACTACACTGTTCATACAATTTTTTTGTATGTTACTTTTACCATACAACATTGTTGTTGAATACCCAGTTCTCTTGAGTTAGCATTATTGTGTAGTGTACTCTCCTGTACAACAATACATGTACTGTCTAAGCACAACCCTGCACAACCAAAACCCCCTTCCTCATCTCAAAGTACTGTCTGTAAACCTCCCCCAGCCCATTGACTTAGACAGATCATTCTTGTTAATTGCAGGGGAATTTAGTAGACATGTCTTTGAATTGTTTTGAGAATCTGCAGAGAGAATTAGGTGGTTGTGTCATTACTGTTGTAGTCTTGATTTTATACCTTTCAGTGTCCCTTGCTTGTTTCTGTCCCACAATCTTATAGTGTTCTATAACTGCAAGGTGTGCCCGCTCCCTCATGCTTGTGTACCCAGAAATGCCCCCGCTTTGGGGTATTTTTCAGCAGGGCACTGTGGTATGACTCCAGATAACCTGAGTTTTACAAAAAGAAAAGGTAAAAAGAGAAGAGGGGTAGACTAAATTGATGACATGGTCTGGAAGGTACTCTAGTCCTCAGGCTACCTCTAACCACCTGTAACACCATAACACAAACCATACAAACACTACCCAATTCATGTTTATACCATGCTTACTGTAAATTGAGCTGTCTTAGCCATCAGCTTGTAAATATTTTGGCCAACTTACCTTCACCTTGTGCAGAGCTAGGGGTTGGAAGCGCATGTTGGTGGAATCAGATTCTGTACCACTTACAACAAAATAC